AATCATAAATCCCAACACAAATAGTAGACTATTTTATACAAATGATAAAAATGAGAATATTTCATAAAATACATTACAAAGAGGAGATAATAATGAAGAAAATACAAAATTTAAAGTACAACCCTTTTCTTAGATTTTTGAAGATGTATTAGGCTTGAACTTGATTTTCCCAAAATCGCTCCACCTCATTTGGTTGATTCTCCTATGCCCTTGATTTTGCCCCCGAAATGTCAAGAAATTATGGGAAGAAAATGAAAGGAAAAGATCAAAATAAAAATGAAAACAAAACAAGGAAGAAGCCTCTCCAGATGAAGCTGCTGCCGTGTTTTTATGCTTCAAACCCTATCCAAAAATTGCTAAAAAGTCCCTGCAGGTTTTGAGAAAAGTAACACGATCCCAACCATGCCAGCTAAGGTGTGCGCACAAGTCAGCTTGAGACGCAGGCCTGAGGGAAATGGACATTGTCAGTAACCAACGAAAGGAGCCATGGCACGCGCCAGCTCTGCAAGCTTAGGCGCTCGCCTGGCCGAAGTTTTCTTTTTCTCCATTTTAGTCCTAAAGTAAATTGCAGTCCAAGTCTGTACACTTTCATCTTGAGCAATAGTTAGTCAAGTATAAAAATTTAACTTGACTAACTATTAATTTAGTCCTAAATTAATGTCCACGGGGTTGGGGCGCTAGCAGACATGTTATATATACATAATGAGTAAAGCCAAATGTACGGAATAATTGTTCACAGAATTCTTATCAATACTCACAATGTGTGGGTCCCACTAAATAAAAAATGCCAAAAAATCCCGCTCACCCGCCCCTATTGTGAGTGTGTGTAAATGGTATGTGAACCATAATTTCTGTACATCAAGCAAGGTTCGTACATAATACACTCGCGTGTAAATAATGGATTCAGACTAGCCACAAATTAATTAATTTATAAATTATTCTTTTTTTTTTTCCCAAGAGAAATTTCATTTTAATTAAAATTTTTAGATAACTTAATGTGTATTTGATTGCAAGCACGGAATTTTCATGGAAAGAAAATAAATTTTAGGCAATTCAATTGACTATAACTTATTTGTATGGCAATTATTTATTATATGTGTTTGAATGATTTCTTTTCAACTTAGAAAAAAATTATATTTGTCCATTTTTTATTAGTAGGTAAATGAGAAAAAGGGGATAGGTGAGATAGAGAAATATAGAGTGAATTGCCTGAGAAATAAAAATCACTCCTCCCTAAGAAAAATTATTTTCCTTGTTTTTGAGAAAAATGTGGTCACATGATTAAAAATTGGAAAATATTTTTCATGAAAAAAATTGTCGATCAAACATTCCAAAAGTAGGAAATTTGATGGAAAATAGAGTTGTTGCGTTTTTTCTATCGCAAGTGTACGATATCGTAACAAGTAATACAATGGACATTTGAATCCGGATTATCGGTCTCACGAGGACTATACTTTAGAACTTAATTAGATTTTTCTAACTCCTATTTGATGAAAGTAAACAAAAAATTATATGTTGTTGTGAATTTTTTTATTTAAACAGTTGAAATTAATTAAAATGCACACAAAAATTGATTGAGAATTCAAATAATTGACGGATATTATGGCCGAATAATTTCACCTATTGATCACCTTTAAGTCTTAATTCAAGATTCAAGAATCTAAAGTAACGTTCGACTATGACAATTTACCCATCTCGATTTCTCACTGAACCTATTTAATTAATTCAATCACATATCTCTATCTGAATCTACCTTAATTAAATGAAATATTAGTTTTAAGAATTCATATGATGATCACAATACTTAGTAAATGTATATCTACACGTTATACATTAATACTAGATTTTACCATATGGTCTAAATCTCAAACTCACATCTCTATTCACATAGTGATCAAGTAACTTAACGCATTAAACTCATAGCACAATCAACACATGTATAATAAAATAATAAGAATCTTAATGAATGAAATAAAAGTTCTCAAGTATATTATATTGTTTATTATAATATAAAATTTAGCTACTCATAATAATGGAAGAAGAAAAATAATAAATTTTTATTGAATACATCACTGGATTTTGAATAAAGACGTAGAAAAAGAGATTAATCTTGCACCAATATCTTCTTCCTCTTCCAATTAAATTTAAAATCTTGAGTTTCTTGATGTTTTTCTCCCTTGAATTGCGTTCTTCAATCTCTAGTTGTATTTTCTTTCTCTCAATGTGTCCAATCCCTCAAAAGTGCCAAGTAACTTCCCTTTATACTCCTCCCCACGTTTATATGAATATAGGGTATCTTGTGGATTCAAAAGTTGGCCCACAAAAAATAGCCATGATGTCTACAATCGGCATCGCAGCGCCGCGTCAAAAAAACCCTCTGGCGTCGCAACGCCTGATGTGTGGCGCCTCAGTGCCACACCTCTAATGTGTGGCTTTCGTGGCACCGGGGCGCCACTCTTCTATCCTCGATATTTCAATTTGACCATTTTACCCTTTTTGTTTCAATGACATTGGCCTTGTTGTCTCTTTTCTTTTCCTAATTTGCGTCATCTTACCACTTCTAATAAACTCATTAAAAATGTTCACTAATCGTAATATCTAGCTCATAATTAAGTTAAAAAGGGAATAAAACTCATGAGTAAAACACAATCGTCAAATACCCCCAAACTTAATAGTTTGCTTGTCCTTGAGCAAACACAAAGCAAATGAGTACTAAAAATCATACCACGAAAACTTAGTCAAATAGCTTGTCCTTTGGCTCAGTATCAAGAACATTATATCAACCCATGAACACTTCAAAATAACAATAGAAAAGTCAAACTTCCATTTATCCAATACAAAACGAGTGTACATGTATAGAATCAAATATAATGCCGTACATTCACAAATTAGTTCAAATCCCAACCCTCTATAGTCAGTTTTATCATTTTTATGCTCTTAGGATTCACACGCCCCCAAATTTGTTTCTTTCATATATTTTCTTTTCAACCTAATATTAACATCACCCTTTTTTCTCTTCTTGACCCCTGGAGGGAGCTTTTAGTCGGTAACCCCCAGGCTTTTGAATACCAAAAGATACCAGGTTTCAAGCTCAAGTCAAAAAAGTGTTGGTGTGAGGCATAATCTCAATAAGTATAATGCTTATTTTCTATAAAAGAAAAGCAAAATTTACATGGGTTAGATCCCTAGTATTTGGTCATCACCAAGCTTATACTAGAAAGTTAAAGACACTCCACACATCTTTTTCACATACACGAAATCAC